GGTAGTACTGCCACATTACCGTGTTACAGTTTTGAAGGGTAAGGGTGCTGGTGAAATTACAGGCACATGGGACTTGTCAACTATGTCTCAGAGAGATGGACGCCGTAGCAGTAGCCTTCGAGCGGCAGTGCTACTGTTATGGACAGGCGTGACGCTTTCCACCGGGTACACGACTTGTTCGACCCGTCGCTTAATATTTAAAAAAAAAAAATTTTTTAGTAACTTACTTTTTAAAGGGACTTACTTTTTTGTTTCGTGGACTTTCTTCTTTTTTAATTGTGAAACAGGGACCACAAAACAATATCAAGGGTTATGACATCTTGCTTAGCTGATGAACATTAAAAAGACTTAATTCTTAATACGTTAAATGATAACAAAAAATCGTTAAAAAAAAGACCTATTGGCGACTAGTTTTTGTAAATTATGTTTTTAAATTGTTGAACATTAAAATGATCAGAAACAATTTTCAGTTGTAAAGTTCCATTTTTCCTCATTATTTTCAAAGACTAATAAGGCCATCACCTTTAGTACTTCAAGAGTAGGTAATAAATAAAATAATATGAAAATATGAAAAAACTTGAAATCTTATTTTCTTTTTTATTCCCAAAAAGTTGAAATTTTGTATTGGGACACTTTCACCGTAAAGGTGCAACCTGAAGGTCGGTAAACGTCAAGAAATTAGTTTTGATCGTTGACCACGAAATAATTATTGTAATTTTAATTTAATTTAATTTTTTTTTTATGATTGATTTAGTGTCTGTTTAAGTATATCTAAATGTTTTAAAATGAATGTTGAGCACAGTAATAATTGGGCACAGATATGCCTGTTGTATTAATTTTTAAGTGTTTTTATTTTCCTCACTTTCTGTATCTGATGTCTGTACATTGTGCCATAAATAAAAAATAAAAAATAAAAATAAAATAAATTTTCATCACTTGCTTGGAAATGAAAATATCGTGAGAAAACTTGGATTTCGGAGATAATTGCCGAAATCTTCAAAGATGCGAGAATGTCAAGTTTCCAACCAGTACTTACTATGCAAGTGCAGTGGACTAAACCTTGTGCAAAAAATAGTACTTTACTAACTTACATACGTCTATTGCTGAGCGCACGTTTCTAACAACAGGCTTACGCTTAATTTGACTTATCTACACACGACAACTTTCTGGGTATGGGTTTATTACATGGTGAAATTGAAATAATTAATATCCGTTGAACCTATTAAGGTTCTTACTTCCTAATAATATCTACTCATCTAAAGAAATATTTTAGAATAGTTTAAATTAGCAATAGTGTAAAACCATAAAAAATCTTACCTAAATAAACAAAGTATCAAGATTAGTCGCCTTGCGTACGCGATACGTAATCGTAGCGAAGTCGCAAGCCTTTGGCGGCAACTTTGGCGGCAAAAATATCACCTTTGATTTTCGCCGCCAGCATTTGATTTTATACATGGTGATGTGGATTAGTGGTTAATGTTAGACTCGTTTCGGAGGTCGTGGATTCGATTCTCATAGTTGACTGGCTCTATGGGGTAGTTGTTAGAGTGTTAGGTTTTCTTTGCGGATGTCGTAGATTTGATTCCCATAGTCGACTGCCTCCATAGTCTAGTGGTTAGAGCGTTAGGCTTTCTTTTCGGAAGTCGTGGATTTGATTCCCATAGTCGACTGCCTCTATGGTGTAGTGGTTAGAGTGTTAGGCTTTCGTTTCGGCGGTTGTGGATTTGATTCCCATAGTCGACTGCCTCCATGGTGTAGTGGTTAGTGTTAGGCTTTGTTTTCGGAGGTCGTGGATTTGATTCCTATAGTCGACTGCCTCCATGGTGTAGTGGTTAGAGTGTTAGGCTTTCGTTTCGGAGGTCGTGGATTTGATTCCTATAGTCGACTGCCTCCATGGTGTAGTGGTTAGTGTGTTAGGCTTTCGTTTCGGACGTCGTGAGTTTCCGATGGGTGACTGCCTCCTTAGTGCAGTATATCCGTAATCACTCAGTCAGTTCTTGCATTATGTGGAAGTGGTACGGGTGATGGTCAGAGCTTGTTTACAAACAAAGGCGTATGCAGTGCAACGTTGAAGGTCGTAGACGTAGGATATAGGTATTCGTTTAATGTGTATGTAATGATGTAATTTGTATCAGGAGAAGGGTCTTATTTCAAAAGGATGGTAATAATTTTAATTTCATCCTGTAGGTACATTATGAAAACGTTACCCTATATTCCAAAATTTGCGTTTCAGTCGGCGTCCTTTGATGTGCCGCCGCTGAGGCAGAGGTGCTATTTTTTAATTTTTTGTAACAGTCTGTAATTGCCGTTTGCGTTGTGAGGACTAAATAGGTGTCATCGTTTTGTTTGTGTCTTGTTTTTGTGTTTATTTAAACTATGTCACGCTTAAGCAATAGTGATTACTAAGAGATGATGTTGTGCGTAGGCGCAGCCGATGGGAGCTTGCGCCAGCCTCGCCAAATTTATTGGGCAAAGTTTATTGATGGCGTCCCAGAAAATCGACGTCGACCATTTCCTGCTGTGGAATGCTTCAGGAAGATGGTTATGAGACTTCATAATAGTGGATCGTTCCGTGGTTCCAGTTCTGAAGGCCGGCCGAGTTCACGAGACCCAGAATTCGAGGCAGATGTTTTGGAACATTTTCTCGGCAATCCAAAGACAAGTACTCGTCGTGCTGCGGCAGCCTTTGGTGGTGTGAACCATATGAGTGTGTGGCGTGTGCTACGGGATGATGGCCAGCACCCATACCATTTTCAAAGAACGCAGGAGCTGTTACAAGCGGACTATGATCTACGTTTGGCATTTTGCCGCTGGTACCGCGACCAGGTTGGGAGGTCTCCCGACTTCGCTTCGTCGGTACTGTGGACAGACGAGGCGTCATTTACGCGTGCGGGCATTATCAATATGCATAATGAACATTTTTGGACTCATTTGAATCCCCGCGTATCAAGGGAATCAAATTTTCAACACCAGTGGCGGATTAACGTGTGGGCTGGTATAATAGGTTGTGCCGTCATCGGTCCAGTGTTTTTGCCGGCAAGTCTGAATGGGGCCAATTATTTAAGATTCCTAACAGAAGACTTGGGTGACGTTCTGATGGCCCTGCCAGTGACACAATACGTGAGACTCGTGATGGAACACGGGATGACTTTCTAGCACGATGGAGCACCCGCACATTTTGCTCGAAATGTACGTTCCCATCTGAACGACCGTCTCCCGCAGTGGATTGGGCGGGGAGGTCCTGTACCCTGGCCAGCGTGGTCCCCAGACTTGACACCGCTCGATTTTTTTTGTGGGGTCATATAAAAATATTGTTTATGCGGAGTCCTGTGAAAGCGCAGAAGAAATGAGGCAGCGGATCGAAATGGCGTTTAGTCAAATCACTCGGCAGATGCTTCAAAGAGTAGAGCAGTCTCTGTACCGACGCACGGAAATATGCATATTGCATGGAGGTCGGCATTTTGAACCTTACCTGTAAATGTGTGAAATGTGCCAGCAGTGCGTGTAGTGATTGTACTTATTATTCAAAATTATCGTAAACAAGTCAATATTTCGTACATTGTACAACAGTGAATTACAATTCGTAGGAAATTCATTAAAACGTGTATGAATTGCACAGTAGGTAAGTACCAATTAAAAAAGTATCCACTATTGTAAAATTGTCGTAAATAAATGTATTAATACAAAATTATGTAGCATGTGTATACGATGAAGGCGTGCGTAACTACGGGCTTAATAAGTAAATAAATATCCTTTAAATTGTATGTAAATAAGTACGTACCTAGGTATGGTATAAAATAATATTGTTAGAAATAATTCGATTTTTCTAGGTATTTAAAGATTTTGTTACTTAATATTAACGTGTTATCAACATATTCAAATCATGTTTTTACAGTGGCATTTCAATTGTAGTCAGCTGTTCTTTCGCCCCGCTTGCGGCCGCCCAGGTTTCATTAATGAATTTGTGAAGTCGTAGTAACGTAACTAGCAATAGAGTTGTGACGCAGTGGTTGTTTCGGACAATCACTATTTATACAAACATAATTAAAGTTATATCAACATTAAAAGTCACTTATTTTTATTTGATATTTTGCACAGAGGGTCTAGATCAAGTATAGGTTTGGCTCCTTTAATATGACTACACCTTGCGGTTACACCCTGTATAGTACTTTACGATATTCATATATATGTATTGGTTTCATTACTTATTTATAAATATATGTTTATTTGCATTTATTTATCAATTTTTATCTGTTGATTAGTAATTCCTCATACACCGCCGTCTTTTTCCTGTGAATTATATAATTACTCCAAAGGTTGTCGGGCAGAAAGCGCTTGAAGCAATAAGACCGCCCATTGTACCACCGCTTATTTTTAATTTAATTGTATTGTATTTGTTTCCTTTTTAGGTGTACAATGAAGAATTTTTGTATTGTATTGTATTGATTGATTAGCTAATAATAGCACATTATTAGACCGGATTTCTAAGCGTCTGAGAAATAAGTTTTAAGAAACGAATACTTCATTTCGGCATCCGAATGTTTTATGAAAATGTAATTTTATGTGAAGAATTAAGTCAATGGAAGAATATTAATTTTTCACAAGTGATGAGGAAACTGACTTTTCTTGACCATAGACTACAAAAGGTCACAAATTAAATTAAGAGAGTATGTAACATTTCTATAGGGTGACAGGATGAACGATATAAATATTTAAAGAGGCGAATGAATAGCTGATAACCACATCGAATATGTAAAAAAAAATACTACCTTCTTTTTAAATATTTTTCTTTAGGGAAAATACTGCCTTTGTAATATTCTGCGCGAGATACCGCGATATAGCGAGTGCCCACTACTCTTACCGGTCTCTGCGCACGCTTTCCCACGCCTTTCGAACCCCCACCCCCGCTCGTTGACCACCCGCTAGCGCCCGGTTAGTTCGCTTTCGCTCTCGTGTTAGACGGGACGACTACGCAGTCGCGTATTTTTTTTGCGTGGTATATCGGTGTATTCACCTGTATAGCCTGTGAAGTTCAATGAGTAGTATATGTTTAGTAAGTTTGATGATTTCAAACTTTTTGTATCTACGTGTATGGGAAATAATATGCATGTAATTTTTCAAAATCATACAACAAAAGCCTTAATTGTAGAATTGCCCAAGGAGATTTCAGTAAAGTTAAATAACATCCATAAGTCGCCAGCGAACTAGTTATGCTGACATAAAAAAACTTCCATAATATTGGTTTCGGTTCGGCACATGATTAACAATGTACAAGAGAGTTCGCATTGTTTCAAAGTACTCCAATAATATCTATAAAGTGTATCTTTTGTGTCTTGCGTAACAAAAAGCACATTAAATCTAAAATGTATGTTATTTAGTATAGTCGTGTTGCTGAAGCATAAGTAATAATAACGGAATAGCTAGCTTTTCTTTCATTTCGTTTGTTCACCGAGTACGCTTCCTGCGGTTTCAGCTCGATCTCCTTGCGGGTGAAGGAGTGCGGGATCGGGACGTTGCGGTCGTCATATGTGAACAGGCACATGCAGCAGCAGGGCGTCGCGTCTTGCAAATTCCATCGAGCACATTTCACACTTATAAGGGCCCCCGGCTTCAACCGTTTCGGTCACTTCGTCCTCGAGTTTCGGAGAGCGCAGTTGTGGCGAGGGCGATCGAGAGTTTAAAGTCGGTTGGATCGCTCGTAAGTCATCTGCTGGGTGCCGCGGTGGGCGTCGCGCTCGTACCTGTTAATGTCAATAATAAATTCAAGTACTATTTTTTACTATGAATGTAGATAAAATAAAAAAAGTAATTTTAGAAGGTGTCATTGGAAGAGGACGGCGACGAAGAACATTCACAGATCAAATTGACTTTCAATTTAACCTGTAGTGAGAAGAATAAGACGACCTTTATGAAAAGATTGACAAATGCAAGTAAAGCAAGAGAGGTTTGTAAGGACCCTGCTAAGTGGCGATTGTCTCTGCCTATCCCAATAGGAACCTCAAACCGTGAGTCTCAAAGAGTTGACCGTGTGATGAAATCTGACCCGTTACCTGCTTGATTCTGGCGCGAGGTTCTTCCGTGTGTATCATGCGCGGGCGCGGTGGCGGCTCGGGCTGGCGGCGACGGCGGCGCGCGCGCGGCGCTGGGGGAGGGGACTCCGCAGGGGGCGGTGGCGACGGCGACGGCGGGGGCGATGGAGCGGGGAGTGACGCCGGCGACAGCGATCCTCGGCCCCAGTCGTTCGGCGGTGATGTCCCGGCTTTCAATTTTCGTCGTCGTTTGTATTTACGTGGACCCGACTAAATAAAAATCAATACAGAAATTTGGAGTTTATTGGCGTGATGGAAATGTTTTCATTGTTGTTTTACGACCTCAATTTTTAATTTCAATAGAGTTTGGATTTCGAAATACGTATTTTGTGTGAGTAAACACTAAGGAAACATTAAATGCACCTGCGGTTGCCTCTTCAGGGCCGTATTGGCGTCACAATGCTGAATGAGATGCTGCACTAACTCTGCGCTAGAGTGTAACGTCCGTCCGCACACCACGCAGCAGTAAGCTGGACCACCTGAAAAAATCGTTGATGAATCGTAGAATAACTTAATCGATGAAATGAAAGGTGCTAGTATCTTGTGTGCTAATAAGTGACGCAAGGCGCCTTTTTAACGGCAAAAGGAGTTTTTGTTGAGGTGGATATTTTTTGTCTTGGACTGGCTTTACTAACGACTAATTGACATTTCCACAACACGCCCCTGGTGTCCTTTCATCAGCAAATTTACATTTTTATTTAGATTTTAACTTAACTAAAATGACGAATTAGAAGAAATCTGTTTGCGAATATTGTGCATAAGGGATCATTCAACCTTACCGAGTTTTGGGTAGACATCTTTAAAGAGAACTGTCTTCGACAGCGAAAATCCTTCTCCATTGACAATTGGTACGAGTAAACACGTATTATTAATGAAAAAAAAAACCTAGATCTGTCAAACTAAACTTGTCATAGCGAATAATTTACTATTCATTTGGGGATACCATTTGCCAATTAGCAGCGGGTAGCAGCTACCAATTAAATAAGTGTTTTACTCGTTGAATACCGCGAACGGAAAATGGCGCCAACTTCCAACATTTCTTTGATAACTGCCAATATATATGAAATGATCCCTTTATGAAACTGAATCGATCAGCACTAAAAAAATGTTGATCAATTTTATACTGAACCAAACGTATCACTTTAAATTTTACTTCACAATAAACACGGCAACATAATATTTTAAAGTGACATTAGAATAGGCATCCCTCTGCTATGATCCATTCTGATAGAAGACATCCACAAGTTACACGAGGTGCTTAATGTGACTCGAACCAGGACGATTGCCAAATCAAGCTCATCAAGTATTTATTCCATAATATAGCGTCGATTAGGACACTAGCATAATTAGTCCATAAGCTCATATTGTTAATTAAATTACTTTAAAATAATTTCAGTTATTTTTCCTCGGCCACGGCCTACGTAATTAGTAGTTGTCAGTTTGTTATCTATAATTAAAAATTTTACCATAATTTTCACTCACCGTTGGGGCGCCTCTCCGGTGCTGAATGGTGGGACCGTACGTGTTCTCGCAACACCACTCGCTGGTTGAACGCGCGCGGACACACTGCGCATGCGTACGGCTTCTCGCCTAAAATAAGAAAGGATTCATCAGTGCAAAGCTCCAGCAAAGAAAACGTACAAGATTGTTGATAGTATTTCCAAATTATGACATTTTTATATTGTCTGAACCATGGCGGGCTAACACGACAGTGCGCGACTTGCGCGAGAGTGACATAAAGCACGAGATACTGCTATTGTCGTATAAAGAATAGTAATCTCTCGCAATTTGAAAAACGCATATCGTATACACTACGTGTTCTATTTAGTTCAGTTGTTGTGTATGGAGTACTGCTGCCATTTATGGGATGGCTCTGCTAAATAGCAACTGGCCACCTTGGATTCAATCCACAGGCATGCCAAAAGGCTTATAGGTGACTCGGAACTAGTTGAGGCGAAGCTGAAGAGCCTTGAGCACCGCCGTAAATTTGCCTGTTTATCGGTATTCTACAGGGCAAATCAAGGAGAGCGTGCGATGGAATTGCAAAATTTGGTTCCGGCTTCCCCTTTCCTTCATCAGGGGACTAGACGTGGGCTGGGATTCCACCCCTATGTTGTGGATATTCCCAGGATTCATACGAAGCGTTTCGCTTCCACATTTATATAGCGAGCATCTAGAGAGTGGAATTCCCTACCAGCGGACTTATTCCCCGAACTCTATAACTTGGACCTTTTCAAGGCGAGAGGGAATAGGCATTATTAATGTGTGTATGCTACATCGTCGACCTCATCATCACTTTCCATGAGGTGAGATGGAGGTCAAATGCGCACTTATTTTTAATAAAAAAAAAGTTGATATAAAAAAAAGTCCAAGTAATAGTAAAATCACAGTAAAATCACCCGTGTTAGTTTTAGAGAGAGAGCGTAGGGCGCTGGCAGTGCGGGGCAATATGTTGGCCCGTAGGTTTGCAAGATGTACGGATAGCGTAAAGGTAGCTCTGTTTAAAGCTTACTGCCAGACCTTTTACACTTGCGGCCTATGGGTCAACTACACCCAGAAAGCACTTGGCTCCCTGCGAGTTATTTATAATAATGTATTCAGGATGCTGTTGCGGCTGCCACGATTCTGTAGTGCTTCGGAAATGTTCGCCGTGGCCCAGGTAGATGGGTTTCCCGCTATTTTACGGAAAAGGGTGGCCTCCTTAACGCACAGATTACGTGGCAGCGGTAACAGCCTCCTGAACGTCATTGCAGGCAGGGTCCAGGGTTCATTTTTTGAGCGCTGGACCAGCCTTCATGTTTACCCAAAAAAGAGTGTTTATTTGTAAACGAATGTTGCAAATAAACACTCTTCCCTGTAATTATTATTAGGTACTAACATTAGTGTGTAAGTTGTTTTTGTATTATTAACCAATATGGATTTCTATCTGAATTAAATATTTTGAATTTGAATTTGAATAAGGACATCGACTGGATACGAAGAAACTGAGACCGTCAATTTCATCATACCAGTTATATTCATTATATTCCATGGTTTTTATCAATTTGTACCTTATATTCTAATTTCGTTCCACTTCAGGCTATATAGTTGTATCAATAAGTTGTATTCATATACGGAGTTATATTTGGTAAAATACTATAACGACCTCTCAGGTCTATATTATTAACATTATAAACAATATAGGAATGAAACTATTTTTCCGGATTTAAATCGCGTATATTTGTTTTTTCAAACAAATCAGTCAACCAAAATTTCAAATCAGTCAACCGTGACCATGGGACCTGTAAAGGGCCCGAAATGTCGGTTTGTTTGAAAAAACAAATATACGCGATTTAAATCCGGAAAAATAGTTTCATTCCTATGTATAACAATCGCGAAAACCTAAGAACTCGATATTATAAACAATAACTTTTCTGTTCCATGACTTTTAATAATTTATCAGACTTCAGTTTTGTACAAAATTAAACATACAATGTGTTGATTTGCATTCTCGCCATATTTGCAGAGGTCATTCTATATCCAAAACTGAACCCAAATCACTAAAAAAATTAATTGAAAAAAAAAATTCGTAAATTCCTATTTTTTATTTAATGGCGGTAAACGAATTTGATCCAGAAAGGTCATTAACTTGCACGGCACTTGCAAACATTTTAAACAATGACCTTAACTGCGCAGAAAATCTAAAATGGGTTTCCATTTTAGATATATTTGCCGGTGGGGTGCGGGTAGCGGGGATGTGGCATATCGAGCGCGCGATTGGTAGACCGGTCGACCTTGCTTCCCGTCCGCGTCTACGTCACGCTGACATTCCACATAATTCTATTCTAGTCTGTCACGTGTTAGCTAACTATATCACTGCTAGGACCTTTAGGAGATTATTCCTATCAAGGAAACACTAGTCAAGTCTTGACTTTTTTATTTCGTATTAATCTTACTGACCAGTACAAATTCGAAACAAGATGTGTCCTACCACAGAGAATACAAAAAATGAAGTTTTTAATCGATATCTTGAATCGAGTATAATTGATTTAAAATAATATTTCTATATTACATCGAGTAAATCGTTCAACGACCAAATCACATTATGTATTTAGTTCACAATAAGTATAATAGCTAACACTCGACTAATCCTAACTAAGAACGCCACCTCGCGATTCAATTCGCGAATGTAAGTATATAAACAAAACGAAAAAATAGAAAAAAAAATCAATGCCCATGTAATATTTACTGAATAGATGAAAACGAGACAATCACACTTACGCTTACTTTACTTACTTTCACAATTATCTACTTGTAATAACCACTCTTATAACTAAATAATTTTCTTACATCTACATCGTTCACAACTGTTTACTTGTGACAACTCACTCTTAAATTCAAATCACTTAATTACATCTGTATCGTTCACAAGTCTCTCCTTGTGACGACTCACTCTTATAACTAAATCACTTACTTACATCACACTACTTCGTTCACAAGTCTACTTGTGCCAGAATATTGAACAGAATATTTTTTTTTTTTTGGATGATTTAGCATTATTTCTATTATTAATTTCTTAAATATGGCGAGAATGCAAATAAACACACTGTATATGGATCGTTAAACGGTGATAACTCTGTGCGGTAGCAATAGAAAGCACTTATTCTCTAAATAGACAAGCGGGAGGCGTTGCTAAAGTACTTACACTACCAAATACAGATCATAAAAGTGTCAAAGTCAAAGTCAAAGATTAGTCAAAGTCAAAGAATATTTATTCCATAGGTAAAATAAATTAACACTCGAAAACGTCACATTTAAGCTACTACTCGTTCACTACGCTGACCTCCCTGAGAA